ACCTAAATATACGTAAGTATGATTTTAAAAGGGACGTAACTAGTTAACAACATTTGCACGTTGCAAAGAGGCTCAGTTAGTATAATAATTCAGAAATCTTGCTTTTAGCCTGTTCCCTGCATAGCTGTGCTGTACTGAATACAATCTGCACACTAAAGATACCATGTTTGCAGTTAAAAATCTCCAGAGACTTTAGACCCATACATAAAGATACTTATTTCACTCTTTTCTGAAACACTGACCTGTATCTTCATTTAAAAATGAACACCACATCTTTATGTTATTAAATCTTTGTTTTGATCTATTAGTATTCACCAAAGTGCCATTTTATACAACCCCACACTGAATAGGCAAGGCTGGAGGTAACCATCTGCAGCTTTAGAGTCTGCGTTTGAATTGATGAAAAGAGCTTTGTGTTTTCATTGCCAAGTTTGATTCTTCCAGTCATTAGACATTCCCCTCAGATCGCATCAATGAAGCGGACTCTCTTACGCCCATGTGTTAAATTCTCTTCTCCTCATGGTTTCCTTTGCCAGCTATACTCCAGAAAGACTACTGGGTCTTAGCCACATTCTTCTCACAGCTGTGTTAAAAAAGAGCATCAGAGCGTCTTCCCAAAATCCATATGTGTATCTGGTCAGTCCCCTGTCGGAGGGTCACCTCACATTGTGGTGTGATTATTCAAATATTCATTCTTGTTCTTGAACTGCACTGCTCAGATCATTCTGGGAAAGATTAGATCCTCCAGCCAGTACTGGAGAACGTCTTGGACATCGATGTGAAACACACACAGCTCCCGTACTCGGCAGGCAGATTAGTTTTACTTGCAGAAGAGGGGGACTCTAGCCACTTAATAAATGCTCGCTTCTTATTTCTTTCTATTTCTTGAATTCTTTTCAGTTGTGTCACATGCTGGTAAGAACTGCTTATTTTTGTTGTGTCATTGATCAACTTATGTATCCGCATCAGCTAAGAAACTAAGTGCACAACTGCAAAAGCAGAGAAAGCCTGTTGGGAAAGGCTGGAGGGAAATCCAAGACTACTCAAAAAAAGGGTGTGTTCCAGTAACAATAAAAGTTAGGTGGGCAAAAAAAATCACACCTTAAGAGGTAGAGAAAATGTTATTAAGGGTACTATTTCTTTTATGAGTGAGAGCAATTTCCTTTGATAAAAGTATCTATTTATTCAGAAGATTGTTTAGTTTTCTTATATATTCAAGCCACTGAAATATTTTCTCAAAATCTGTAACTCTCCTTCTGACTTCCTCCTTTAAAAAAAAAAAAAAAATCCAAAACCAAAAGAAAAGGTTTCTCCAATAAACAGTTAAGGACAAATGAAGTAATAATTTCTGTTTTACATCACTTTCATATTTGATTTGTTCATAGTCAGAACTACCCCGACAAAGGGTACAAGCAGCATGTTTCTCACCATTTATGCTTATTTTCACAGCTGCATATTTTAGCATTGCACCATTAGTTTGTGGATTTGTGTTTACTTTTAGAGGATTACATAGAAATTCTACACGCTATCCCCTTACACATCTACGCGAGTGTGCCCGTGCTCACAGGCAGAGAGCTATGCTTTCCTGAGATGTAGTCATTAAATTGTGAGAAAAAATAGAAGCCCCTTTGGATTAAAATTCACTCCAGCTGCAAAGCTGATGCAGAAAAATAGAGCATTTCCTGGAAAAAAACCCCACATCAAAAGTGGCCTCAACCTTTACTGATAATTGGCTAATATTGATTCGGTATTACATTATAACCTCCTCTGATCTCACTGACATGAGTAGCCACTCCTCAATCCCAGAGGTTCCAGCAGGCAGGACAGTTTTAAAGCGTCTTGCTGCTTTTGCTGGCAAAGGCATTAATTAATTCAGAGGCTTTTCCAGCCACCTTCTCCAGGTCAGCCCCATTTCCCTGCTGGGGCTGCACCAGCTGGCTCCTGGCTTCTCCGGCAGGACAAACTTGCAAGGGGCCTGTGGCACTGTGCCAACACTCCTGGTGAATTCTGCACCGTTGTCCTAATTCTTTGTTTGTAACCATGAATTAGAAACATTAATTAAATGTAGAAAATTATAGTCATAACCATTCTACAAAGTATTGGTTAAATATGTTAAGTATCGTGCAGATTGAATAAATATGTACTGTGTATTGTGTGTGCATACGTGTATTTATTTACATACACCTCAGTTAAAATGTGTATTTGCTTTATAAACTAGAATAGTGCCCTCTTAAAAGTCTAATGTGTATCTTGTTATTGTTGGAAAATCACAACAGGTTCAAACAAACGCTACTAAATCTGTGTGGTCGCTCTCTGAGCATCAACATTTTCTTTCACAGCAGCACCCCTGCAAGGATGGCAAATCATCTTCACAGGCAAGAGCACACAGTTGCAAATTGTATCTCACACTGCAGTGAGCCCACGTGAGATTTCATCCTGCTTCAGTATAAACAGAATTTTACTATATCCAAGTTCTCTATAAGCAGATTCCAATACATCCCCCTTCTGGTTCACAGCTGCTGTTTCACGTGGGATAGGATCCAGAAATTTTTGAGATGCTTTGTGTCCTGATGGAAAACACAGGACCGCTATTCTGAGTTGGATCTCACGTTCAGGAAGCAACAATTGCAGGTGGGTAGACAAATGGCTGACATGATGGCAATGCCATGGAGAAACGACATCTCTATTTCAAGCTCTGTGTATGATGCCGAATGCAAACACTGAAGTTTTTAAGAATATTAAATAATTCTTCAGTGTTGTCAGAAAACAGATTAGCAAAGTGAACACCAGTAAACCACATGGTACAAAGACACAAGGTACATACTTTTTCAATATTATTTGGATCATTCTAATTATGTTCTTACTTAATGAAGCTCATAAAATTTTTTCCTGATTTTTAACTGTTGCTACATTATTCAGATATTTGGCTCAATAATACTGATAAACTACTTTATACAACTGCTAAAAATACTTCCCTCATATGTCAGAATTCAATTTTACTTCAGCATTTAAAAGAATTCCAGAAAACAGATGTTTTAGAACCCTATTTCAGCCATGAATCATAGCATCACATTTTAAATTGCAATAAGAATCCTTTTAAGACAGTACTAATAATTATTATGACTGTAATTAATAACAAAAATCCATTCCATTGACAGGTTTATAAATTGTCAGTTCCTTTTTGAACTGTAGAACATCCTACATCTTTGAAATAAAAAGCTAAGCTAACAAATGAGTTCCTGCCTAATTGCCAAACACTGATTTGTATGAAGCGGTTGAGGTTACAAAGAAATTGGGAATTCTCAGCCCGGTTTCCCTGCTGATGAGTACGAACTGTCTGTGTAGCTCTCCCAGAGGTGTCAGAGGAATCTCTATAGTGTCACACAAGGGTTCTTAGCTCAAAGTAAACACACTTTCCACAAACTCAGCTGCTTAATCTGTTTGCAGGTTGAATTATAAGATGGGGGTGGATGACTCTGGGTGCTGGGAAGACGCACAGAGCATTTCCACAGTTCCTTGGTAAAAAGGGCATGCTATTGTCATCAAAAGACTTCACCCAATTGTTTAATTTTGCTATAGGCTCAGTGGTCTGATCTTAGCAATAATGAAAACTAACCTGACCAAAAATTTCCCAAGTAGCTGCGCATGATAAATTGCATAAATTCTTTTTGCTATAGCAGTGCATCACCACCGCTTTAATTCAGGCTGTGGCTGCACTTCTACTCTAGCCACCCAGGTTACGTGGGATTAAACAAGACTGTTTCACTGAAAAAAACCTCAAGCCCCAAACTAAAAAATAATCTTCATTTAAATATCTGTGGTTAGTAAATGTTTATAAATAAATTGAAATAAAATAACAACTTTAAACAACGTACTGAAAGGTTTAGCGAATATTCCCTTTAATATGCTGTAATCATTTTTCATAGGTTTATTTTTATCAAGCAAGCACCTGCTGAAGTTTCAAATACACCATCTAAGTGTTCAGAATAAAGATTTGAATGCTTTTCAACCAACTACTGGAGATGTTAAAGAGATGACCGAAATATGCATTTCCATATATATATAGCTTAACTATATTTTATGTAGTTACAAATAAATTAAAAATATAAAAAAATATTTTTTAATAGGCGAACTCAGCATGTTTGTTTTTTTTTTTTTAAACAGGAAGAGCTCTTGTTAGGTCCTTGCAATATATCGTAAGCCAATTTCTGGCTACTCTGGAAATATGCTACAGACATTAAAGTTCAAGACAAATATGGGCTGAAAAGAAAATTTGTATCAGTTCAGCATCAACCACCTTGGAAGGGTGTGAGAGGGGTATTTTGCAACAGATGAATATAATGCATAGATGAGGAGTGCCAGACTGTGAAGAAGCTCTGACTACACGTTTGCTTAGGTCCCAGAAATCAGACTTTCAAAGGCTTATGTGATGATAATAACAATCGCGACAAGGGCCTCAGTAGAGATGAACTTCAAGTTTTGGAGTTCAGTAACAGGGAATCTTACAATGGAAAAGAGAATACAATCCCTGTTCACCAACTCAGAGACTTCCTGTTGGTTTCAGAGAGATTTTGAAGCCACCCCTAAACAACCCCATCAGCAATTACCGTGGCATGAAACTTGCCAGATCTGTAACGGACTAAAAACAAGAACCTTAATATGCGACCATGCAATTACAAAGGCAAATACTCTGTTGCCATAGGATTGCCATGGGGTAAAAAGACAGTGAAAACCATTCATAGGAGATGGAAACACTTTCTCTGTGTCTTGCACATTTAGAAAGCAGTTTCCACAACAATAATGACAGACACACTGACTTGCATAATACTATACAACTTAAAATGATTAGCTTCACACTGACGAGCTGAATAGCTGACAAAGAAGGAATCATTTTAAAGGAACTTTTCTGACTACCACCATGCTTTCAATCAGACAAAATATCAAAAGAAACAATGATTCATTTAACTGCAATTTTCCTTGAAAGAAGGCGAGTGACTTACTTCTGAACTTTTTCATTGGCCTCCCATGAAGCCTCCAGGGCTTTCTGGAGCTTCAGCTCTGTGTCCTTTTGCTCTGACCGAGCTTGCTGCAGCTGAGCAGCCAGATCTTCAATCTGGCGATAGGTAAGGGTCACAACATCCTCCCTGCCTTGCATTCCACCTTCACAAGTACCAATGGTACAGCTAAGCTGGTCCTTCAGACTCATTCCTTCAGACAAGGATTTATATAAGCTGGGAAAACAAAATTGTACATGTTATTAAGCTTCAGTCTAAGGCTGAGCTGCAAGAATACTACACTCAATTTAATTAATATTTTTATTATTATCATATATGGATCCACAGGCACTAATACCAAACCAAGTTTTATTTCGAAAGTGACCGAGAACAAAAAGAACATCCAGTTTCCTCAAGGCTTTTCTAGAAGTGCGTAACAATTGTCAAAATTTTTTAAAGTCAAAAGCCTGTTCAACAAAAACTGAAAAGGCATTTTTTTTCAGCTGTAGCATCTTCCTCATCACCTTCAAGCTGCAGCAAAAAGTTGTTAGTGTGATTTACATGAAGTGGAATTAATCAGTGTAAGTTATCGATGTATTATTAACTTGTGTTACACATGACTCTCTTCTAGCAAGTGGGCTTCCTAACTACAGGGGGGTTGTTTGCAAAATAGCAGATTTTTCATTAAAATAAAAAGAATAAAAATGCTACAAAACAAAAATCATTAGATCAGCAGAATTACTTAGAAATAAGAATGATTAGCACATGCTAACCAATTCTGAAGGTCTTTGGTCAATTTTTCTCAGAGGAGACAAAATATTTCATGATACTGGTTTAAATAAGCTAGTAACGCCTGTACTAGAACATACTGTGTCTTAAATAGCCTCTCTATAGAAGACAGAGATAGGGTTTTATCATGGACATTTCCATATCTATAGTGTCCTCCACCATAATTTATTGCAAGGTCCTTTTTGACCCATTGTTCTGGCTTCACTCAGTAGACATGCTTACCACCTATTTCACACTGAAGTGACATGGATGTATATTTGATCTTAAAGACCCTTTCCAACCTAAATGATTCTATGATAAAACCCATTCAGTTTTATAGATGATTTTGAGGTACATTCATAGAGATACTAAATCACAGAGCACAAAAAATAATACTCTTTCATTGTACAAACCAGAATACAGTACTATATGCTTTTTATTTGTGTGCCAGAAAGTTCTGGATAAATCAAAGGGAGACCAGAAATTAAAAATGAAACTGCATAGTGTCTTAAGGCAACAGATTAATGAAGTTAAAAGAAAAAAATACGCCTGGATCAGCTAACAATAGCTATGGAAAATACGCAACAAGAAGGATATTAGACAAACAGGTTACCTTTAAATAATGAGAAAAAATTGAAAAAAGGAGAATAAAGAAGATGATGGTGCATCAAATAAAAAAAAATCTCAAAAAAGCCTGTTGACTATGGAATTATTTCCCAAGGAGTCAGTAGGTAGCCAGCTGCTTGTTATTAAAGTGCAATAGTAGAAATCACATTAATAGCTGATTACTAGGGGAGGAGCCTGCACCAGAAAGATCTCTGTGGAACTAGCCACAATTGCTTCTCATCTCTTCATAGCCATAATTCATTGGTGAATTTTACACCAGTGAAAAATGACACTGGTAGTAGAAGAAATTCACAGAAGAAATTTATGACAAAAGTGATGGCAACAGGATATCATAATGAACAGTGTTTTTAGATAAATAATTGAGGTAATTTCAAAACAACTTCAGGAATATCGGAAGCTGTGGCTGTATTGATGAATATGACTTGAGACCATCCCTCTGACCGCTGACCATGCAAACATCAAACATAATTACAGTGTGGATTTCTATTAGCAGTGCACACTGATTACAATACTCAAAACAGTCTGCATTACAGCTGCTAGTATGCAATAGCACATTTTCTTCCTTTCCAGTTTATTAAGATGTTTGTATGGAAAACACCCTTTGTTCCAATAGCCCATAAAGAAAAATCATATACAAACCAAAATATAAAATACATGGACAAGCAAAATGTGGATGAACTAATAGAAATCCAGAAGTTAAAAGGTCAGAGTGTTCATATGTCATTATGCCTACTACCTGCAGTTGTCTGAAAATAATGTGAAGAACTTTTTCAATTAAATGAAGACATATTGAAAATATAAATATTTATAAAGGGACATTAAAATCCCTAGAACAGAGTCATTAAAAATAAAATTACGTTAACAGTTGCACACAGAATTTACTGACTGAAGTTCCACTATGGTCCAGCTTTGACCACTACGGAAAAATACAAAGGTATGCAAATAATGCTGAAAGCAAGTTACTGAAATACCACTGCTACCTGCTTCTTAAACACCTGGCACAAGATTAAAAGAAAAAAGAAGACAGATGAGAAGCTAAACTGTTCAGTGTATATATGGGTCCCTGATTAAAAAAAAAAAAAGGATAGCCTAAATATTCTAACTTGTTCACACCTCTGAGAGGCTTTTTTCCAGAGCATAGGAAAAATATAGTAATTTATTCAGATTCTAAAATACTGGCCCTGGGCTCCTTCTGAAATACTGGCCATGAAAAATATGGTGTGCAATACACTATCTCATGTTTTATCTCATAATGATTGCATCTGAGTGATTGATAGATTCTGATATGTATATATTTTGTAGTCAGTGTGATTCTTCAAGATAAAGACACTGTGGTTCATAGATCTTTTAAACTTTGATTTTTCAAAAGCATGCAATTCTATCAATATGTGTTTTGCTAAAATACTTTTATTTAGTCCATTTCGACACCTATGAATTTGAAATTCCTTCATTAATTTAATGATTATTTCTTCAAAGGATATTGATGCTATCAGTAAAAAATAAATGGGGGTTCTAGCTCTGAAGAATAGGTCACAGAAGCATTCAAACACTTCCTTGATTTACATAATTCACATGTTCCTTACAGTAAGCCTTTTGCTTTACTACGGTAGCATGGCCCCTTTCATGCTCCAGCGTGGGTCTGAGAGCTTCAAGGGCCCACCTTAACTGTGTCCAGGAAGAAGAAAAGGTGACACGTGATGATGTCACTTAGGCAGCTCCTGCTCTTCAGCCCCCAAAGTCAGAGTAGCTTTAAGCCTGCTAAAAAATTTCACCAGTTGTAACAGCTCCCAGAAGGACTTGACTTTGGCTGAAAACCAACTGTATGAAGTGCTGCTCTTATAACACTTCCCTCCTTGCCAGGCATACTTTTGCTGCAAGGTGGGAAATGATTTTCCACCTGAAGCAATTACCAAACAACATACAGAAAACTTCCACCTGAAGGATGAAAAGAAAAAACCAGCAAAAAATAAACATTCCCTATCCGTCCCCTCCCTCCTCCTCCACCCCAGTGATAAACACATCCAATGTTCCCAAAGGCATGTAGATCTGACCTTGGTTTTCACCACAAACGTTTCTGACACTCAAGTTCTGAAGACCTCTCAGACCTCAGCCTGCACTCAGGATGACTTTGAAGTGGGTCCCTTCATACCAGTGAGTGCACTCAAGGGCCAGGCAGCATTGAGACCTTGAAAATACTACCTCAGAGGTGCTCTTAGGAAACACTGCACTAAGATGATATTAAAAAAAGGCCCATAAGACCTAGAAGGACTTTGATATTTTGCTGTGAAGCGGAGGATATAAAATAGTCAAGTTTGCATTACATGTGAGTCAGGAGCCTGACAGCTGGTAGACTAGTAACTAGATGGCATTGCCCTACCATAGACAAGTATTTTACCAGCCTTCTTTCATCTGCAATTACAGGAGTTAAGAGGACTGTGTTTTCTCTTCAGTACGACCACCCAAACATCCTGCTAATTTAACCGAAGGCGGCAGCTCTGTCAGACTGTGGTGCACAGGCCACAGATCATGTTACAACAGTAGTTTATGTGTGTGGGGTACCCACACATTCTCAGTCTAGGATGAGCTCAGGCATCCTTTATTTTATATCCTCTCATCAAACCCAATGATAAACACTTGCTGAACAGAGCCCACCACTGATGATCTCTGTGGTGGCTGGTGATATAAGATCAGGATTTTACAGTATAACACATTGACAGATTAGCGCGGACTATGCATGGCCATACCGTCCAAACTCAATTACATGTGAATATGGATCCACAGTGAGCAGTAGGTTGAGTTTCAGCCTTCTAAAGTGATCTAGAGAAACATGTGACCTGTACAATGGCCCAAACAGTCTGGACACTACACGGTTCAAATAAAGGTTCAATATCTCCAGTGAAAGCTTGAACTAACTTTTATCCATCTTAGAACTTCTGTTTTTCAACAGGTACAAACTAAAGACCACGAGCAAACACATTTTTCCTCCTTGGGCCTTAGTCTCCTCACAATACTACCTCTGCAAGGTGCTCTGAGTTTCACTACTGAAAACAGACTCATCAGTGTTGAAAGAGCTGTTGGGTGCAGCACAGCCTGAATCCAGGACAAAACTAAACCCAGATGGTCTTTTGATCATGCCAAACAGCAAACATTTTCTTTGGAGCCTCATTTTCACAATACAGGACCACTGCAGTACCCACACCATTCCCCTGTGACTAGCATGGGAGAGGTAGTAAGGACATACGGCACGTGATTTGATCATCTGAGACTTTCTTGAAGTTGGACTGCTGAGACATGCACTCAACAAGGAATAATTGGAAACCATACCCCCATTACAAAACCTTCATTTACAGAGTTGCACAGTAATCAAATGTCTCCAGCGCACTTCATGCAGCCACTGGCCAAATTGCTCAGACAGCACGGGCTCACATGACAGCAACACGCACACGACATCCAGCACCACCTATCCTTCCTCACATCACTGCAACGTCAAATGGTCCCCAGCCTCCCCCAAAATACTTTCTGGATTAATAATGTTTGATTGAAACAGACCAAAACGTACATGATACTGATGGATAGAAGGAAGTGTTTTTGAGATTTTTGCAGCTGTGGATACACAGATCCACAGTTAATAGCTTGTAGTTAAGAAATGCACCTCAATTTCCTGAGCACACGATGCACCTAGAGCTGAGGTCTCTGTTATCTCTAATTATTAATTAGAGCCTGGAAGATGATAACTTAGCACTAGCTTTTTTCACACATACATCAACTCTCAGATACAGCGCACCTGAGTTTACAGAAGAGACTACTGTAGGTTTTATGTTTTAATCCTGCATATTACTTGA